GTCGCCACTTTCGTGGTCTCCTGGGAGGTCCAGCTATGTGGAGTTCCGCGCGGACCCAGCCGAGATCTCGCGACTCCCTGGGAGGCTTCGCAATGCGCGAATGTCACCACTTCCGTGGACTCCCCAGGTAGGTCCAGCAGAGTGGAGTCACTCGCGGACCCAGACGAGACCTCGAAGCCCTTTGGGGGCTGCGCAGTGGTGCACAAGTGTCACCAGTTTTGTTGGCTCCTGGGAGGTCGCACGGGGTGGGTTACACGCGGACCCAGACAAGCCTCGTGGCTCCCTGGGGGGCTGCGCAATGCACAATTGTTGCAACTTTCGCGGGCTCTTGGAAGTCCAGCGGAATGGATTTACACGCGGATCCAGCCGAGGCATCGCGGTTCCATTGGGGGCTGCGCAGTAAGCATCTGTCGCCACTTTCGTACGGTGTTGGGAGGTCCAGCGGAATGTAATTACATGCGGACCCAGCCGCAACCTCGTCTGTCCGTGGGGGATGTGCGAAAGCGAAATGCGCAATTGTCGCCACTGTCGTGGGCTCCCGGGAACTCCAGCGGAGTCGAGTTACACGCGAACTCAGACGAGACGTCGCAGCTCCATGGAAGGCTCCGTACAACAGTCGCTACTTTCGTAGGCTTCTGGGAGGTCCAGTGGAATGGATTCACACACGAACCCATTCGAAACCTCACGGCTCCATGGGGGGTTGCGCACTGCGCGTCTGTCGCTCCTTCAGTGGTGTCCCGGGACGTCCAGCGGAGTGGAGCCTCACGCGGACCCAGGCGAGACCTCGCGGCTCCCACTCCCGAGGGCTCCTGGGAGGTCAGCGGAGTGGGATTACGCGCGGACCCAGTCGAAACCTCGCGGCTCCCTTCGGGGCTGCGAAGTTTTGCAACCGTTGCCGCTTTCGTGGGCCCCTGGGAGGCCCAGCAGAATCGAGGAGTACGCGGGCCCAGACGAAACCTCGCGGCTCCCTGGAGGGCTGCGACGTGCGCAAGTGTTGCCACTTTCGTGGGTTCTGCAATGATGCGCGCAGTCCTGCAGATCTCCCACGCCAAGGTGCCCACGTCGACGGCCTGCCAGGGCTGGACCTTGCACGAGGGCGTCATCGTCGACGCCGGGAAAATGAATGCTGACCACATGGACGGGTTATGGCTCCACCTGTACGGCATGCCCTTGAGGGTGACGACGCCGGACAACCTCCCAATGATCCGCGATCCATTTGGACGCCCGGAATGGGTACGGAGAGAATGGGTACGATGCCCAACAACCAATGTTGTCCCGAACCAACAGCGGCCTCTGTTGGGCAGGCGGCCTCCTGTCTCGAGTGGACACAGGCCGCGGCGGCGCGGACAGCGAGTCCTGCTCAGAATGAGCAGGCACTGCTGTTGCGCATTGCGTCCGTTCTTGCCGTGCCCATTTCCAAGGGCTCCCAACTTCGCGCTTCGCGCTGCGCGAAGCGCGAAGCGCGAATGACTTCGCGCTCTCGCGCCGCCCTCCCAAAGGGAGAATAGGAGGACGAGGAGGAGAGGGGAGAAGGAACGAGGACCGCGAAGCGCGAAGCGCGAATAACTTCGCGCCCTCGAGGGAGCCCTTGAAAATCCAGGCCTCGACTTTTTAGCCCGGGTCCCCGGTGCCGCCGGCGGACCCGGCCGCTCGCCTTCGGAGCTTCGGCTCCCGCACGGAGCGCGGCGAGTCTGCGAGGCCGCAGGCTCGGCGCACGACACGCGGCCCCGCCGAGTGCCTGCACGGCTGCAGACGGCGCCCGCCAGGATTGCAAAAAAAAACCAAAAAAAACCCTGGATTGCAAAAAAAACCCAGGATTGCAAAAAAAAACCCTGGGTTTTTTTGCAATCCTGGGTTTTTTTTGCAATCCTTCGTTGCAGCCGCGTCCGTGTATCATCGTAATTAGCTGTTGCGAAGGCGCAGGCGGCGACGCCTGCAGCTTGAGGCGATCCGTCACCAGTGGAAAAGCAGGAGCTCCTTCAGCGCGGGGTGCTGCATCGCCACACAACGTGCGGCGCCGTGAGATCGCAGATCGCAGGTCGATGGGGTGACGCGCAGCGCATGGCGCCGCCCCGTGTCTGTGCCGCACCCTCTTTTCAGCTGCCTCTTGACGGCAATGCGCTCGTACGTTTGCTGCGCTGTTCTGTAATTTGCGCGTGGTGCTGTTCTGTACTGCGAGTGTAGCATGCGGCGCTGTCAATCCCGCTAACCGTTTGTCCCGTTCCTCCCTCCCTGTATGTTTCTACACGCACTGTTCAGTTTCTTCCTGCTCGTGGCCACTTCCTGCCAACGACTTAAGTCGCAAGAGTGATGCTGCGATCGGGGACCATTTGGCTGTGCCCAGGCGTTCCTTTGGCGAAGCGCTCAAGGGCACGGTGTGTCCTTCAATGCTCGTGTTCGTCTTGAGCGGGCCTATGTGTAGTCTTAGGTCGGGCACGTCCTCCTACAGGCCGATTTCTGCAAACTTCAAATTGACAACACATGCTCAAAAATCATCCAACATAGCAAACACATCGTCCCCATCCTATGTTTGTCTATTTTTAAATGATCATCCTGTACAGGGACACGCCCGACGTAAGTATAGCCGCCTCACGTGTGCAAAGGGTTGGGCACGTCGCCCGCAGGGCTGGGAGCGGGGGGTCCGCGAGACTCTCTGTCTTCGAGGAGGAAGAGCAGGAGGAGGAGGAGGAGGAGGAGGAGGGGCGGGAGCTTTTTCCGCCCGCGCGAGGGAGTCTCCCAGCCGCTGGCGCCCTGCCGCAGCCCGCGCGCGCCGCCGCCGCCGCAGGCCGCCCAGGCGCTCGCCGCCAGGCCGGCCGCGCCCCGCCCGGGGGCCGCCGGGCCCTGCAGCAGCCGCAGCGCCGCCGCGGGCGCGCCGCCGCGGCCGCCAGCCGCTCCGCGGCGGCGCCGAGCGCGGCGGCCCGCAGCGGGGCCACCGCGCCCGGCGCTTGGCGTCGGGCGCTGCCAAGAGTGCCCCCTGGCCCAACGCGGATCCCCTCGAGTCGTGACGGAATAGTGACGGACAATTTTTCACGGTTTTCAGCCTCTTGGGGCTCTTACGGGACCTCGGGGCCGTGAAGCAGTGTCGACACAATGTCGGACGAGTGTCGCCCAGGGCCCGACGCGTGAAAGCCCTCGGGTTTCGGTACTATGTTGGTGCTAAACATTTTGCCTGGTGTTCTAGGCTAAAGTAGACTGGAACATCATAACCCTCGGCGCGTGGCTGACTCACGCGGTGGCTGTGCAGCGCGCCACGGCACGTCGCAGACGAGGGCGCCTGCGCGCGGCATCGCGCGGGCAGCTCGCGCGCCGAGGTCGGCGCAATCGGCTCCGCTTCCCTGCATCGCCCAGCCCAGAGGTCCGATGCCGTTCTTGTTGTTGATGCGGGTTGGCGGTGCGCACAAGGGGGTGGAGGGAGGGGGGGTGCTTCTTAGAAGGAGGCTGCTTCTTTTAGAAGACGCCAGCCTTACATCTATAGACAAGGCGCGCGCCTTCCGACATCTATGGATAACGCACGCGCCTTCCGAGAAGCAGGGGTGTTTAAAATCAACCCTCCACCCTCCTCCCACCCCCCTCTGCGCGTGATCGAACGAGGTCCCGGGAAGTCTCGACCCATTCCCCGGGACCAGTTTTTCATCCTGAGTTGCTTTTGTTGACGGTCCCGGGGCCCGGCGAGGGCCGCTGGAGGCCGAAAATTGGGAAAAACTCCATCTTGATCTTTTTCCTGCGTCAGATCTCTGGGAAGCTGCCCCCAGGATTCCCAAAAGGAGGCCCTCTCGCTCTGAACTCCTGGCGCTGCAGCTTTCTTACCACGGGCGCTTGCGCCGCGTGCCGGGCCCCGGGACCCTCACGGACCGATCCGGCTCGATACATGTCGGCGGTGGACAAACCCCCCTTTTAGTAGACCCCCCCGTAGTGAAAGCGGCCTGGGACCGAAGCCGACGGACCTGGACCCGCAAAAAACGACGGCCGCGACGCCCTCCCGCGAACCGAGAACACGGCCGATTCCTGCATCGGCGTGTCGGGGCAGGAGGTCCGTCCGCCCCCGAGGTGCAATATTTTTTTTCGCAGCGTCGGACCTCAGGGGCGGCCTCCTCCTCCTCCCCCTCCTCCTCCTCCCTCTCCTCCTCCTTCTCCCCTTCCTCCTCCTCCCCCCTCCTCCCCTCCTCCTCCCCCCTCCTCCTCCTCCTCCTCCTCCTCCTCCTCCTCCTCCTCCTCCTCCTCCCCTCCTCCTCCTCCTCCTCCTCCTCCTCCTCCTCCTCCTCCTCCTCCTCCTCCTCCTCCTCCTCCTCCTCCTCCTCCTCCTCTCCTCCTCCTCCTCCTCCTCCTCCTCCTCCCCTCCTCCCCTCCTCCTCCTCCTCCTCCTCCTCCTCCTCCTCCTCCTCCTCCTCCCCCTCCTCCTCCTCCTCCTCCTCCTCCCCCTCCTCCTCCTCCTCCTCCTCCTCCCCTCCTCCTCCCTCCTCCTCCTCCTCCTCCTCCTCCTCCTCCTCCTCCTCCTCCTCCTCCCCCTCCTCCTCCTCCTCCCCCTCCTCCTCCCTCCTCCTCCCCCTCCTCCTCCTCCTCCTTCCCCTCCTCCTCCTCTCCTCCTCCTCCTCCTCCTCCTCCTCCTCCTCCTCCTCCTCCTCCTCCTCCTCCTCCCAGCACCCCACCACGAGGCCCAGGCAGCGCCGCCCCGGCACAGGGGGCACCCGCAGCAGCCCCCGATGGCAGCGGCGGGCCGGAGGGCCGCCGCCGAGCAGCCACAGCTCTGGCCGGGAGGGCCGGCGGAGGCGACCTCGGCCTTCTCCTCCTCCTCCTCCCCCTCCTCCTCCTCCTCGTCCTTCTCCTCCTCCTCCTCCTCCTCCTCCTCCTCCTCCTCCTCCTCCTCCCCCTCCCCCTCCTCCTCCTCCAGGCGCGGCCGGCGGACCTCTAGGGTAGGCCTAGGGGAAGGCTCTAGGGGTAGGCCTAGAGGTAGGCTTAGGGGTCCGCCCTAGGGGTAGGCCCATGGGTGTAGGCCTAGGGGTAGGCCCTAGGGGTAGGCGTAGGGGTAGGCCCTAGGGGTAGGCCCTAGGGGTAGGCTCTAGGGGGCTGCCCTCCCCGGCGCCTTTTCCTAGCACCCTAAGCCCTAACGCCCTCAACCCGAACGCCCTAAACCACCCTGAGCCCTAACCCTTAGCCTAAGCCCTAGTCGCTGAACTCTAAGCCATACACGTACACCTTGAGCCCTAAGCCCGAAACCCGACCCTCAACCCTCGCCCTCGGCCATCCCATGCAAGCTCCTGGCCTCCGCGGCCGGATCCGCCCCAGAAAACGGGTCAGGGCCAAGACGCAACCAGGACGAGGATCAAATGGGGTCAGGATAAATCGAGAATCTCTGAGATCCGGCGGCTCTGGGGGATGTCTCAAGCGTCGTGGCCTTCTCCGAACGTTCTGGAATGAGAGCGTTCCGGAACGCTCGAGCGGGAACAGACTTATGCTCGTCCCTAGGACGAGGATAAGTCCCTTCCAGAGGGAGGAGGCGAGGAGCGAAGACTTCTCCTCGTCCTCGCCTCCGCGGCCGGATCCGCCTCGGAAAGCGAATCGGGGCGCAACCCGCGGGTGGAGCAGGAACCGACCGTCCCAGCATTCCACTAGGTCTACCACGAAAAAATCCAAAAATGTTCGCACGATCCCAACATGTTCTCAAAATCCAGTGTGACCACTAGGCCTAGACGGAATGTTCTCAAGATCCAAACATGCCCTCAGCACAAAAACCGTGCTCTTGGAGCAGAAGCCCGACGTGCTAGCACCAGGCAGTCCCAGCCAGAAAAATGTTCTCGGAGCACTTCGTCCGAGAGGCCCGGCACCGCGACGAGGTGTCGCGATCTCCGAGCCCTGGATCGACCTGCGAGGGCCCCGCGGGGCCGGGAACCGGGTGCAAACAACTCTTGGGTCGGGCCTGTCCCTCTGCAGGAGTCCTTGTGACCCAGAAGGGGGTCCAGCTGAAAGGGGGGGGTGCAATACATTCGGGGCACTTCTATTGCAAATGTATTGCGCCAGAGAACTGTATTGCATGGTATTGCAACCAACGCATTGCACGCGGAAGCCCAGCACTACATTTGCGCAGAAATGCGTTGCACACCCCAACTCTACTGCAGCCCCACAAGTATATTGCACTACATCTATTGCACTACCATCTAGTCGCTGGACCCATGTTGGGCCAATCCGACGGAGGAATATTCAATGATAATAATAGTGAAAAGAATAATACCAAAAATGCAATGGGGACGATTTTTTGACTATTTCATTTGGGAGCGTGTTTGGAACATGTGTTTTGTTTCGTCCGAAATCCGCCTGTATGATGACATGCCCGACCTAACGAAAATCCCAGGTGTGAAAACTGAAAAAAAAAAAAAAAGCATTGCACGCTCCGATCTCAGAGTATGTCGGGCGGGCAAGCCGCCGTTGTCCCCAAACGTGCGAGGTCCTGATCATTCAGGAGGGCGGGGCCCCCGGAAGTGCCGACCCTTTCGCTGGAAGTGCCGACCCTTTCCCCGTTCCCGGAAGTGCCGGCAGGTTTATTCGGGGAAAAACAAACCTACCTCGCTTTTGACCACCCTCGCTTCCAAGAGACACCAAACGATGCCAAATTGCGGCCTGTACTGGTCAGGCCGCTTGACGAGGAGGCGCGTGGTATGGCTTGGTTTTGCCTGGAAGCGAAAGCGGGGGAGGCAATTCACGCTCTGCTTTATATAATTCCTTGATGGCCCCGGGCCCCGGCGAGGGCCTTCAGAGGCCGAAAACAGCAAAAAACAGCCAATCGTGCTCCGGTCACGACGCGTGGAAGCCTAGGTATACCCAGGCCAGGCGTGAAAGCCACAAGCTGAGCTGTGACAGGATCTTAACACCAGATCACTTTCTGCTGGAGTGCCAGCTTGACTCGAAGGCCACCGCATAAAAACATAATGTCGAGGTTCTTGTCTGCTTGGATTGTCGAGGAGCCCCCCTTCTCGGAAGCCTGGGTGTGTAAGTGAACGTTTTAAACCGGCGTTTCGACATTGGGCGGAAGGGGGGGGGAGAGGGGGGGGTCTGGCTCTGGACCTCTGCTTAGCGCGACTGTTTGCAACAGGGCGTCGATTATGGGGGAGACACCGCCTGCTCGAAACAGGCGCCAAAAACGACCAAGATCTACTTCATGGGGGGGGGAGGGGGGCGAGGGCCCGCGCCGATGGGCAAAGCAACGAACAAGAAAACGATCACAAAGCCGCCGTTGTCTCGGCTGGCCCCCAGACCCCCGACGTCACGATCATTTTCATCACGTCGATCCCTAGAAACTAGAAGTCATGACCCGCTCCCCAGGACTGGTGCTCCGTCCCGCGTCGTCTCCCGACGGCCCCGAGGCCTGGCCCCAGGGCCCCCGGAGGCCGAACGTGGCGAAACACGCCTCCTCCCCTCGTGGTCTTGCCACGACGTCCTTGAGGGGGCCATAGAATGCCGGGCGGGATAACCCGCCGTCGTCTCGGCTGGCCCTCCTCGATCAAGGACACAGACTGTACGATATCAGACTCCCCTGTTCTGGGTGCACCAATAGCCCGGTGGAGCATGCTCCAGTCGAGGGCTCTCCCCCTCGACACCCTGAGCCCAGGACACATATACGGAAGAAGACGAATCGCTATGATTGAGTTGCCGGGCGGGATAGCCCGCTGTCGCCTCGGCTGGCCCTCCTCTGCATGCCCGCCGCCCGCCGCGGCCGAGCCCGCTGGCGCGGCGCCGCCGCCGCGCTGCTCCGCCGCGCCCAGCAGGGCGCCCCGCGCGAGGGGCCCCGGCGCCCCGCCGGCGGCGCGGGCCGCCGCCGCGAGGGCGCCGGCGAGGCGGGGGTCCGGGAAGCGCGCGAGGGCCTGCAGCAGCATGTCCTGGGGTCGACTGCACACAAGAGTGACCCTGGGCACGGGGCAGTTTCTAATACATAGGATTTTTATAAATATGTGATGTTCAATATATGATTAATGTATGAATGAATTTATGCATGAACTCCTCGTTGATTTTAATACTAAATCCCTGCATCTTTATACATTATCCGCACGCGGAGCATGTATTGAAAACGGCACTGTCAGAGTGACCTTTGGTGCGCGGCTTGTTGGGGGCCGCGAGGGGGACCAAACACGAGCGCGCGAGACGCCCCTGCCGCCTCGCGTTCGGCGATCGGGGGGGCCCATTGGGCCCGCACCAGAGGTCACTCTGGCGAAGGGTCACTCTTACGTGTATACGATGGTGGGAGGACCCAGGTGTCGTTGCACCGGCCTTGCAGGCGTGCATGCAGCTGATTTTTCCGCGCGGATTCCTGCGCGGACTTCTGCCCGAAGCGGCGAGCGAACAACGAAGCGAAGGTTGCGTGGGTTCTGATTGGTCTTCATTCCTGGCCAGATAAAAATCTGTACGAAATTCACCTCGAAATGCGGAACGAAGTTCTCCAGGACACCCCGGACCCACCCGATCGTTCTCCGAAAGAAATCCGATCTGCGATGTTGGCGCGATGACAGATGGGCGATTTTGGAAACCCTGAACCCAAACAAGTGTTCGTCTCTTGGGGGCGAATCTTTTACTTCCGCCGGCCTTCCGCCGGCGGAGTCGGCCTCGTTTTACTTCCGCCGGCCATCCGCCGCCTTTCGCGGCGGAAGAGAGGACAACTTCTTGGATCCTCGAAGACAAAGAAACTTCTGGAACGACCCAGATGAGCCTCCAATCCCATCTTGTTTAGAGGCCTCCTGGATGGGGTCGGAGTGGATGGGGTCGGAGGATCAAGCCGCATCGCCCATGCATCGGCGCTGTATCGGCGATGCATTGGCGATGAACCGGCGATGATATCGTCGAAGCCTGCGATGCATCGGCGACGTCGACGTGAAGCAAATCGAGCTCCACATCGAGCCGCATCGGCGATGCATCAGAGATGTGGCGCGATCATCAACTGTGTCGGGCCCACGGTCGAGGAGTGTTCCTCGGGGACCCTTGCCTGTGGCGTTCAGCGCGACACAGGTGTAGTTGTAAAGACGTCTTAGGGGAACAAGCAATTCACAGGACACGATTCCAGATTTGCCGTGTCACAGAGATCCTCCGACCCCATCTGCTCGGACCCCATCCAGGAGGCCTAGACTGTTGGCCCTTACGGATCGACGCCCATCCACGCTAATCGACGATACATCGACGATACGTCGGCGCGAAGGCGGCGCCGACTCCTCGACTACCTGGCGCTGGACCCGGCGGTATGCACCTTGAAGAAGGAATCACGCACACGATACTCCCATGCAGGAGAGCCCCAAAATCGAATCGATACGTCGGATCGGCCATCGGAAGGATCCGGATCGGCGGAAATCGGCAGCCGAGCCAGGAAAAGTCGCATCGGCGGACATCGGCAGGCCAGCGTGCCTCCCGTAAGGAATCGGAGCCCAGATCGCGATCCGAAATCGAATCCAATCGGAATCGGCAACCGTCGAAATCGAATCGACATCGAATCGAATCGAATCGAATCGGAATCGAAATCGGAATCGAAGCGGAGGAATCGAAATGAGCCCTGCCCATGTGCCACGAGTTGCGACCTAACCATGACGGGCAGCTCTCTTGGCTGCTCTCGGCCTCCTCCACGGGGCCTCGGGGACGGTCCAGCGCCGACTCGATCGCGATACAGAAGCCGAACGCAGGGGAAGGCTGAACCTGAACGGTGTTGTTCGTTTTCGTTTTGTTTTCTTTCTCCCTCGTTTTGTCTTCAGTCCGCCTTTACCGCAAAATGAATTCGAAGCGAAAACGGCCCACGAAATCGCCCAAAGACCGTTTGGGTCCAGCCCTGCTGCAAGGGAAAGGGTCGGGGCTCCCGAGGACCCCTTCTCGAAAGAATTCAGGCATCGCATGCCTGGGGAGGAAGACTGCGCGGCATGAGCTTGCACTCTTGGCGGTGGGCGAGCCTCCCTCGAGCAAACCACCCTTCAGTGAAAGCGGCCTGGGACCGAAACCGACGGACCTGGACCCGCAGAAATGACGGCCGCGACGCCCTCTCGCGTACCGAAAACGGCCAACTCGCCAGTCGACGCGTCAGGGTAGGAGGTCGGTCCACCTCCGACACTTTCGGAGCGCTGCGCGCAGTTCTCGCATCGGCGCTGGAGCCCCGCTGGCGGCGCCTCCAGCGCCGCAGCCTGGCGCGCGCGCTCGGCGCGCCAGGGAGAGGGGGGTCCAGCACGGATGCCGGAAAGCTGCGCGGACCTCGGAGACTTTGTGTCACCCAGCTTTCTGTCGCTCGGATGTCCAGCGGTGCCCGCTCGGCAAGGTGCGACAGGCTGGCGGTGGCCGCGATGGCCTCAAAGAGCGGCGCGTGGAAGAGCCCCAGGTCGGAGAAGGCCCACGAGACAGTCGCGAGCTCCTGGGCCCGAAACTCGGGCATCTTTCGGATGGAGGCATCGGCAATGCCTACAAGAAGGGGGACATGTGATGCTCCGCATACCGCGAAAGACCACGCAGTGTTGGCGAGCGCCTGGGAGGAGAACTCCGGCAAGGTCGGCAACGCCGCCGTGGCAATCGCCGACAGCAGGGGCTGGTCAGTGAAGTATGCTGGTGGCGCGCACAAGGGGCTGACGCTAAACGTGGGGAAGCCCCCTATGAGAAGCCTGGGGGGGGGGCTTCCCAGAATTCAGGAGGCTTCTTAGAAGCCCTTCCAGCGCTTCATAGGATAGTAGTGACAAAAACATAATAATTCGGAGGTCCGCGCGGATTTCTCGGATCCGCGCTGGACATCCCTGGCGGCGCCTCCGGCGCTGCCCCTGGCGCGCTCCGTGCGCCAGGGAGGGGGGTCCATCCAACGCCGATTCGAGAAATCCGCGCGGACCTCCGAGTTTCTATGTTTATATCATTATCCGTTCACCTATTTTAGAAGCCCCCGACCATCCAATAACTTTGGTGGGCATCGTTTAACCGATCCCCATCTCCACCAGCGTGGGCTGGGCCCCACTGGCCGACTTACCCCCCTGGATGGGGATACAGGCTGCTCTGTTCGGGTTTCGAGGGGCATATCCAACTGAGGTGGTGAGATGGTGGGGCTCGAGATGTGGATGGGGATGGGGATGGGGATCGGTTAAACGATACTGATCACTGCACCGCCCTTGCAGACGTGCTGCATCGGACTTTGGCGCGGATTTCTGTTAGTGCAAAAACCGGAAACGGCGAATGAAAAACGATGTGATTTTCGCGTGGATGTTTGTTTTGTTTTCATTCCTGGCACAACAAAATCCGCACGAAATGCACCTCGAAATCCGAAACGAAATGCTCCAAGACACTCCGGGCATCCTATCGTTTTCCGAACGAGATCCGCTCTGCGAGGTTGGCGCCATGAGACTTGGAGCATCGGCCCTGCAGCTGCCGCCGCATTCGAAGGCGGCCGCCGCACTCTCACTCTTACAGCGAAAATTAAGTCGGGCGTGTCCCCCTACAGACGTTTTTTTGACGAAGCACTACAAAAACTACTCGGGACATGCCACAAACATGTTCAAGCATGGGCAAAAAAAGTAGTCCCCAGACGATTCTTCGCCTATCTGTAAATACTCCTCCTGTAGGGGGGCACGCCCGACCCAACTCCCACTTCCCATGTTTTCCTATATTTTCCTGGGCATCGACGATTGATTGTGTCTGAGCGCAGCAAGGCACCTGACAGTGCACTTACCCCTGCAGAGCATCGAGGACTACGAATGGTGGTTGGACAATTGCAGTGGGCTGCGCGAATGATTTGTTTCGAAGAGGCTTTCGAGGCATCCCGATTGGCATCAGCGCTGGGAGCTCCGACGGTGAAGGACCTACAGGATGGGAATGCTGCTATCAGGAGAATCCAGAAGCGGGACGATTGACTGATCAAGTTCACAGCTGGCCTGAACCTGTGGAAGACCATGGTGATCAACGTGACCGACAGTGCTTTCGACAACCTGCTGAAGCACAAATCGCAACGAGGACACTTCATCATGCTAGGTGACGAGAAGATCAACGAGGACCCCAGCAACAAGTACAAGGTACATTGCATTGGGTGACAGTCTTCAAAGATTCAACGAGTGGTGCGATCTACTCTATCGGCGGATGCATACTCATGTGCATATTCGGTGGATGTGTTGATTTGAACAAGGTCAATCCTGGCGGAGATCCTGTACCCAGAGATGGATGCGGCCGAGATCGTGCATGACACCTGCCCTGTGACATGCATGTCGGTGACCGACTGCAAGAGCCTGTATGACACGATCGCGAAGGATAATATATCTATGACAGATAGGAGGCTTTCTCTGGAGGCGGCTATACTACGTCAGTCACTAAGGGAGGTCAGCATCAAGTGGGTTAAGAGCGAACAGATGCTAGCGGACTGTTTGACGAAAGTGCTTCCAGGAGGCTACGCGAGGAAGATGGTGATATCCAACTTGTGGACTCTTGGGCCTGATGACAGAGCACCATCAATACGCGGACGGAAGCTACTTGGACCAGAGAAGGTGGCAGCCAACAAGGAGGTTAACGACCTGAACGCGAAGGTGGCCAAGTACGCCAAGCAGGAACTGTACGACGACACCGATGGGAACGATGAGATATCTACCTGGCCGGTGGAAACGTACTATGTGGACGAGTGTTTCTACGACGACAAAGACGAGACTTATGACGAGACCGAGTATGACAGCTACACTACGCCTGAAGGCTGAGCCCGAGGTGGAGACGTACCCCGACGAGATCACAGAGGATGGACAGATCTACCTGGGGGATAGTGCTCTCCTGAGGCAGTGGTTGGCTACATTGGGGCCGATGCGCATCAAGAGTGGCAAGTACGAGGGCAACAGCTTCGCAGACATATGCAGCAAGGGCAAGCACTATGCCAATTGCTTGGGCCGTTGTCTGAAACTGGACGCAGAAGAGAGCAGGAGCTACAACCTTGATCCGGGCATCAAGAGCTACATAGCCTACAGCATCATCAAGTCAGCTCAGGCACGCTGAGATTCACTACCAATTTTGTGTGTTGACGTTGGGTGGTGGAAGATATTGCATTGAGATTCACTACCAAATTTGTGTATACGTTGGGTGATGGAAGAGATGATGAGTGCACCCTCTCAAGTGAAGGGGTGATGTTTGCACCAAAATTTGATTTGATATCTTGATATATGTTGCTCGGTGTACGGGCGGTATTTGGCCGGTCGAGCCGACAAGAATTGTCAGGAATAGCCTGGAGTCTTGTTTCAGAATGTGCTACGCATTCTTTAGACACTTTTTCCTGTGTGAAAATCAGGTAGGCAAGGATGTGAGATTTAGGGCGATGATAATTATCTTTGCTATTGCAACTCTCTCGCTCGCTCGTGCTTTGTGCAGTGTCCCTCTCGCCCGCGGCTATTGTGGCCCACAAGCTTGGCGCGGCAGGGTGGACGCACCTGCTCACGTTTTGGTCTGCGTACGGAGATAAATAAGTCTTATCTGTCTTATCTTGTGCTCGCATCAAGTGCTCGGCGGGAGGGATACAGGTGTCGGAAACCATTACACAACACTCATGCAGAACATATGGTTTGAACCTTCCCCCCTCCCCCCAAATCCAATGTTGGCTTCGGATCTTCCGATTTTGGGCTTCCGAGCGGTCTTGCGAAAACCTGTCAACTTTGAATTGCGGTGGCGGGGAGGCGTGTCGCTTACTTGCTTCCCTCAACCGTATTGCGATCTGTACTTGCACGAAGGATGAGGCCGCCCGCCTCGCGCCTCGCCCCCCCCCCCCGGTGCGCGCCGCCGGGCGCTAGCGGTGCGCAGGCCCACGCCGTGTTGGCCAGGCTCTGGGGCGCGTAGGCTCCAGGCAGGCGCGCTCCGCTGCTCGCAGGGGCCACTGCTCGCGAATGGTCTGGATCCGCCGTGGGGGGATTTACGATGTGTCTATATAGTATAACAAAAATAGTACTACTACTAATAATAGAACAGAATAGTAATAATAATGATCATACGAATAATGACAATAATACTAACACCAATATTAATAATCACAATAATAATTCGCATAATGCTAACGATACTGCTTAAAATGATATGTTTCATGTATTCATGGCGGATTTCGGAAACCCTGTACCCAAAAACGTTTTCAACTGTTGGGGGCGCACTTTTCGCTTCCGCCGCCTTCCGCCGAGCTTCCCTTTTAAACCACTCCGCCCAGGAACCTCCAGGGAAGGACGCTTCGTGAGGGGCCTAAGTGAAAACCAACCGAAATCGGCGCGTTCGAAAACCTGTATTTCGAACGGAGGGCCCACTGACGGGTGCGCGTGCGGGCTCGGATGGAGAGGCCGTCGCCCCTCCCTCGCGCGCCCCTGCCCCTGCGGAGGCGGCACTGTGAGAGCGGTTCCCTCGTCCCCCTCTGGGGCAGGGAGGCCACTCCCCTCAACCAGAAAAACGCATGGATGGCAGACCGAGGGCCGCCGAGCTTCCGCCGGTCTCCGCCGGCGGAGGCGGCCTCTTTCACTTCCCGCCGACCCTCCGCCGCCCTTTCCGCCGCCCTTCCGCGGCGGAAGAGATGACAACTCCTTCGATCCTCGCGTACAAGGCCTTTTCTGGAACGTGACAACTCCTTCGATCCTCGCGTACAGGGCCTTTTCTGGAACGCCCCACATATATATATATATACTACATCCAGGCGGACGTGGGTTTTCGACGTCTGCGAGTAGGCACTCTGCGAGTCGTGGAACGCGCTCGGCGAGTCCCGCATGCCAGGCACCGCGGCGGACGCCAGCGCTCGGAGCAGCGGCGCGTCGCGGACTGGCCGGGTGGCAAAGGCCCACGCCGTGCCGGAGACGTCCGTCGGGCCGAAGGCCCGCGCCCGCCGCGGCGCGGCGGCGGAGATGCAGCGGAAGAGCGGCCCGTCGTGCCACGCCAGCGTCGCCAGGGACCAGGCGGTGTTGGCCAGCTCCGCGGGGGAGAACTCCTCGATCGAGTGCTGCGCCCTCGCCGAGACGGCGCCCAGGAGGGGGGCGTGCACGGCCGCGCGCTTCGCGAAGGCCCACGCCGTGTTCTCCAGGGCCTGCGGCCCGAACTCCGCCATGCGCCCGATCGACGGGGGCGCGACCGCTGCGAAGAGAGGCTCGTCTGTGAGGTGCAGCGCCGCGAACGACCAGGCGGTGTTGCACAAGTTCTGCGGAGAGAAGGCACGCATCGTGCCCATGGACGAGGCGGCAATGCGTGCAAAGAGGGGCAGATCCCGCACCCGCAGGACCGCAAACGCCCAGGCCATGTTCGACAGCTCCTGCGCGTTCGCCCTGGCGCCACTGCCGCCCCGCCCGTCTAGAGCAGCTGCCGCGATGCAGTCCAGGAGCGGCGGGTCGCGCCTCTGCAGCACGGCCAGGGACCACGCCGCGTTCGCCAGGGCCCGCAGCCCGAACTCCGCCCGGAACTGCGCCGCCCGGTCGACGACCTCCTGGACAGCGGCGCGCGACGCACGGCCCGAGGACTCGGGGAGTGCCAGAGGCGTCCCTGGCCTGCGGCGTCCCCAGCTCCTCGCGCCCTCCCGGAGCCCCCGCCGTGGGGCCCACGGGGCCTCGTGGGGGGCGCCCCGGGGGCCAGGGGGGGCCCTCCGTGCTCGCTATCGCTCGGACGGCAATTCTCCGTGCGAGTCTCGGTTTCGTGTTTCTGTTTCTTCTTCTTCTTCTTCTTCTGCTTATTTTTCTTCTTCTTCTTCTTCTTCTTCCTTCTTTTTCCTCGCAAGATGATCCTCGCCGAGAAAAAATGCACACGTCCGAGCGATGCCAAGCGTGGAGCTCTTTGGGGGCAACCTAGCAAAGGACCGCCTCCAGCAGCACCCGAGGGATCCCCTGTGGGCCCTCGCCAGCCGGTGCAGCGCCGTAACCTAGAAGAAGAAATACAACATAAACATAAACTTTTCTGGCGCTCCGCGCGGATTTCCTGGATCTGCGCTGGACCCCCCTCCCTGGCGCGCGGAGCGCGCCAAGGGCGGCGCCGGAGGCGCCGCCACGGGGTCCCAAGCGAGGATCAAAGAAATCCGCGCGGAGCGCCAAACATGTATGTTTATGCCGTTTCTTCTTCTTCTTCGAGTAACCGAGTTCACCGCGTCAAACTCGCGCCTGCTCCGGGCGCAGATGCGAGAGGAACAAAACATGGCATGAGCGTCAGTTTTAGGTCGGGCATGTCCTCCTACAGGCGGATTTTGACGAAAAATGAAATTGTCGAAACATGCCCCCATATGATCAACAAATATTAGAAACATCGTCCCCGGACAATTTTTTTGAATTATTTTTGAACGTTCCCCCTGTAGAGGGACAGGCCCGACTTAACATTAGTGTTAGGTCGGGCATGTCCTCCTACAGGCGGGTTTTGGACGAAACATGAAAACTGTCAGACAACATCCAAAACTAATCAAAAATGGCATGTTCAAAAATCGTTACTGCATTGGACTATTTTTGAGTATTCCACCTGTAGAGGGACAGGCCCGACTTAACATTAGTGTTAGGTCGGGCATGTCCTCCTACAGGCGGGTTTTGGACGAAACATGAAAACTGTCCAACAACATCCAAAACTAATCAAAAATGGCATTTTCAAAAATCGTTACTACATTGAACTATTTTTGAGTATTCCACCTGTAGAGGGACAGGCCCGACTTAACATTAGTGTTAGGTCGGGCATGTCCTCCTACAGGCGGGTTTTGGACGAAAAGTGAAAACTGTCAGACAACATCCAAACATAATCAAAAATGGCACGTTCAAAAATCGCTACTGCATTGGACTATGTCTGAATATCCCACCTGTAGAGGGACAGGCCCGACTTCACATTGAGTCTCTGAGGTCCGCGCGGACCTCCTGGATCGGCACAGGGCCTCCCTCCCTGGCGCGGGGAGCGCGCCAAGGGCGGAGCCGCCAGGGGGGGCCCAGCGCCGATCCGCGAGAAACCCGCGCGGAGCTCCGAGAGGTGATGCTCGGGGGGAACGAGTGGGGGGGATGGCAAAGGGCAGGGTAGAGTATCAGCTCACGTAGCTGATGTTTCCCAGCGCCTCCCGGCGCCGGGAGGCGCCCGTGTATCGAGGAATGGGCCCGGCGGCGGGGCCGAAACCAGCTGCATGCAGCAGATTTCGACCCCCCCCTTCCCTTTCCCTATCCCCCCCATTCGTTCGGCCCGAGATGCTTACAGTGAACCCGCATGACAAGAACGCACGATAATAAGGATGCAAGGGTTAGGTCGGGCGTGTCCTCCTACAAGGGGGCTTTGGAGGAAAAATTCAAGAGACGCAGAACACATTTAGAAAATCCTGAAACATACCCATCAATCATCCCCATACTATGTTTGGACTACTTTTGAATGTTCCTCCTGTAGAGGGACATGCCCGATCTAATGCAAGGGCCCTGAAGACCACGTCGACACTTTGCGAGAAGGGCGCGGCCATCGAAAGCTGCCAACGATGGGCCGAAGGGGAAGGATGCACGGGTAACCAAGTTGCTCATCCTTACTATGCGGGTTGACTGCATGCCCTTTTTCGTTCCTCAGGATGTCCAACACCGCCTCCGCACTCGGGGCGCTCGCGAGCTCCTAAGGCCTCCCAGCTGGGGTCGAAGTAGATGGAGTCGAAGGATCGCGCCGCACGGGCGATGCTCCGGCGATGCACCGGCGATGCAACGGCGACGTCGGCGACGTCGGCGATGGAGAAAATCGGGCTCCACATCGAGCCGCATCGCGGATACATCGGCGACGCGGCACGATCCTCCGACCCCATCCTTAGGTCGGGCATGTCCTCCCACAGGCGGATTCGGGAAGAAAAACAAAACAGAGTCAAACAGCAGTCAGGCACAACCCCTGGAGCATGAACACTCGCCCCCCAGACTGCCTCTCGCCATTCTTGGACATAATCACTCCTCCCCGTGGAGAGAGCGACATGCCCGACTGGACCCCTGTCCGCTCGGACCCCATCTGGGAGGCCCAGAGCTCTTGGCGGCGCGCACAAGGGGGTGAAGGGAGGGGGGAGGGCTTCTTAGAAGGAGGCTGCTTCTTAGAAGGCGCCGGCCTTACGTCTTTAGATAAGGCCCGCGCCTTCTAAGAAGCAGGGGTGCTTCTAAGAAGCCCTCCCCCCCCCCCACCCCCTCTGCGCGCGGCTGAAGCTCCCCGTTGATGCGGATGAAGCTCGGCGGGCCCCGCCGGGCGCGCCCCAGCCGCCGCCGCGCCGCCCGCCGCGGCGGAGGCCAGCGGGCGGCTGCCGCGGCGGCACGCCTGCGGGGCGGCCCCCGCGGCGGCGTGGCCCGCCGAGGCCCCCCGCGCCGCCCAGGCCCGGGCCATCGGCCGGCGAGCATGCCTCCTGGGGGCCAAGGCTGCCACGGAGGAGGGGGAAGGAGCCCAGACCTTCCAGCGGCTCCTCCTCCTCCTCCTCCTACTCCTCCTCCTCTTCTGCCTCCTCCTTGTTTTCGCATTCTTATTCTTAATATTATGGTGATCAGTGTTGTTATCATTATCTTTGTCATTATCATTCTTGATATTGTTATTGTTATTATTATTATGATTATTATTATTGTTATTATTATTATTACTATTATTATTATGATTATTATTATTGTTATGATTGTTGTTATTATTATTATTATTATTCCTCCTGAGTCTTTTTCTTATTGCTAAATTCCTCCTCCTCCTCCTCTCTCCGGGCTCCGGGACCGTCGAAGAACGAACGGCTCGGGATGCGAAGCCAGCCCCAGTGAGAGTGGGTCGGGACGTCGGGGGACCCCGCCTGGAGAACGACAAGGCGTCGCACGCCTGGTAGCATGTCACTTCGCCGTGCGCCCGCAGCAGATGAGCGTTTTTTTATGCGGCGTTGCGACATTGGGCGGAAAAGGGGGGGGAGGAGGGGGGGGGCTGGGCGGACACGGGCCGGGCGGAAGAGGGCAAGCCTCCCCCCTGCCACCCTCCCACCACTGGCCTTGGCCACTCCTGGTGCCCCCCCGACCCTGTCTTTTCGATCGGTCGCGGTGGCTCGCCCTCGCCCCCCCCCCCCCCCCCCCGCACCCCGGCCGCTGGCCGTGGTCATCCCCCGTCCCCGTCCCCGCACTCTCCCACCTCCACTGCTGACGGCCTGCCCCCATTGTCCCCCGACCCTCTGTTCTCCTGCGCAGGAGGAGGAGGAGGAGGAGGGGGAGGAGGAGGAGGAGGAGGAGGAGGAGGAGGAGGAGGAAAGGAGGGAGGAGGAGGAGGAGGAGGAGGAGGAGGAGGAGGAGGAGGAGGGGACGAGGAGGAGGAGGAGGAGGAGGGGAGGAGGAAAGGAGGAGGAGGAGGAGGAGGAGGAGGAGGAGGAGGAGGAGGAGGAGGAGGAGGAGGAGGAGGAGGAGGAGTGGTCGTCGTTCGTCCCCCCTCCCATGGCCCACTCCCATCCCTGGCCCTCGCCCCAGCTCAAATCGCTAGCCGATCGTGCAAGGGCCAGGGCACGCGCCTCACTTGTTCCAAGGCCGGCGGCCCGACCCCGGCCAGGTCCAGGTACGATGTGAAGGAGGAGGAGAGGAGGAGGAGGAGGAGGAGGAGGAGCAGGCGGAGGAGGAGGAGGAGGAGCAGGCGGATGAGGAGGAGGAGGAGGAGGAGGAGGAGGAGGAGGGGGAGGAAGAGGACAAGGGTGACAACGAGAACAAGAGAGAGAGAGAGAGAGTAGGAGGACGACGAGGACGGCGAAGACGACCAGGACCAGGAGCAGCAGGACCAAGTATAGGAGGAGCAGTGGGGAATGATACAGTAAGTCTCACGGCCTGAGAAGTGGACTGGAACAGGTCCCCCAGGCAAACTGGGCAGTTCTGGCGCATGGCGTTCTCCACGCAGACGTGCGTGTCACGGATCTCGTTCGGGTAGCAGCTGCCGCAAGTGTCGCAATGGAAGAAATTCTCACGTCCGCCGACACGGCAAATGCCTGCATGAAGGATGCTGGCGGGAGGGGGGAAGCCGGGCTGGACAGAAAATCAATTGAGAATCCCTCGGGGTCGGTGCCCATTGATGTGGCAGAGTTGAAAGGAAAGGGGGTTAGGATGAGGATGATGAGGAGGAGGAGGAGGAGGAGGACGAAGAGAACCAGTGCAAACCCAAGACTCACCGACGATGTTGGAATATACACTCCCTCCAAGCTCCCTCTTCATAGGCCCCTACAAGGGCCCCGTTCGGAGACAACCGTATGAAGGTCCTGAAGCTTGCCAAACCACAATTCTCATGACTTCGACGTCACGAGTCAACCTGACTGTTGCGTCGTAGCGGTCCTGAATCGTGCCAGAACACCATTCGTGGGACCCCAACACCGCGAATCAACGTAACTGTTACGCCCTGACGACCCTGCATCGCTCCAAAACACCACTTCTGGTACGCTTGCCATCCATGAGAATGTGCAAACTACTTTCGATATCCTTCAAAACAACGAAAACGAATGTGCGCGGCGCTGAAGCGAGAGCCGCATTTTGGAAAAGGAGCCGCACTCAATCCGTGAAGCTCGTGCAAACAAAATATAACGAAGTGCGGGGCGCCAAGGCGAGAACCACATGTTGAAGACGAGCCGCCCTCAATCCGTGAAACTGTTCCCAATGTTTACAACGAATGCACACGGCACCAAGGCGAGAACCACATGTTTGAAACCACCCGCCCTCAACCAGTTCAACTCTTACAACATGTTGAAACGAATGCGCGCGGTGCTGATGCATTTTGAAACGCCCCCCCCACCATTCGTGAAGCTGCTGCCAACTCTTCAGCTTGAGACTCATGAATGGTGAAGGAGTCCTCAGGGAAACGCCCGGCCCGCACTTCGGACTGGCCTCCCTCGGAGTGCGACAGGGAGGAGTTATTCACAAAGAACAGGCATGGAGCGGGATGCGGATGAAGAGGAGAAGAAGGAAGAGGAGGAGGAGGAGGAGGAGGACAAGGAGGAGGAGGAGGAGGAGGAAGAGGGGGAGGAGGAGGAGCAGGAGGAGCAGGAGGAGGAGGAGGAGGAGGAGGAGGAGGAGGAGGAGGAGGAGGAGGAGGAGGAGGAGGGGGGGGAGGTGGAAGAGGAGGCGGCGCCCGTTGATGAGGCAGAAATGAGGAGGCTCCCTCCTCTTCTCTGGCGGTTGTGTCGCCGCTGCTGTCGTCACGGCCGCTGCACAGCGGCGCAGGCGGCGGGCGCCGCTCCCGGGCCTTCGCGCGGAGACCCCCCCCGGAAAATGACCAGGGGCCGCTGGCGTTGGCACGGCCTGCCGAGCACTCTCCCGCGGGTGCCCGCCTGGAGCGTCCGCTGGCGCGGGCCGCTTCTCTTCAAAGTGTGGCTCTCGCCTCAGCGCCGCGAGCACTCGTTTAAACAATTGCGAGTGTTTCGCGGATTGAGGGCGTTTTTTTTTTTATGTGGTTCTCGCCGTAGCGCCGCGCACATTCGTTGTAAATATTTGCACGCGTTTCACTGACAGAGGGTGGGTCGTTTTCACCATGTGGCTCTCGCTGTAGCGCCGCGCACATTCGCCCGGAGCACTTGCAACAGAAGGTCCACTGGTTCTCATGCGTGAGGGAAGTGGGTCCCTGGAAGTCTTTCGGTGCCCCTGGGGCCCTCCAAAGACACCGGGAACGCCAAAGCGACTCTGAATGCAACACGTGTCCTGGGGGGAGCGCCGGCGTCTGGGGCCCTTTGCCCTCTGGGACACCCTTCCTTCACGGCGCCCCATGCTCGAGGGAGAGGTGAAGAGGAAAACGAATAGCAAGAAGTACAAGACGCATATTAATACTCCGAGGAAGGAGAGGAGAAGGGATACGAAAAGCGGAGGAGAGGAGAGGAGAGGAGAGGAGAGGAAGGATGATGCTGATGCTGATGCTGATGCTGATGCGCTGATGCTGACGACCATCATGATGATGAGGAAGGCTTCCTCCTCCTCCTCCTCCTCCTCCTCCTCCTCCTCCTCCTCCTCCTGTTCTTCTCTCTGGCCCGCGCTCGCGTTGCTTTCTCGCCTCCCTCGCGCCGCAGTCCTTGTCCCATCGTGCCCACGACTGCGTCCCGCCGCCCCCGCGACGGGTATCGGGCTCATGCCTCGCATAGCTCCGCCGAGCAAACGGAGGAGGAAGGTGGGAAGGGAGGTGGGAGGTGGAGGAAGGAGGTGGAGGTGGAGGGAGGGAGGTGAAGGAAGGAGGTGGAGGAGGTGGAGGAGGGACGAGGTGGAGGAGGTGGAGGAAGGACGAGGGAGGAAGGCCTCTGTGTGGGAGGTGCACGATGGACAACATATAGAGAGCGGGTGTCGAGGAGGGAGGTTTGCCGCTCGTGGGCGCCGCACTGTGCGCAGTGGAACACCGCCTTCTGCGGGCCCTCGTCGTCCCAGAAGTTGCAGGCGCCGCAGAAGTAGGCTCCGAAGACCTGGCCCTCCCCCGGAGGACGACGAGGGCAGTGGAGGAGGTGAACTCGGAGAGTGGGACGAAGAACAGGAGGCCAACTCGGAAGAGGGGGAGGCAGGACGGGGAGGAGGAGGCGGAGGAGGCAGGAGGGGCAGGAAGAGGACGATGATGATGCTGATGCTGACGCTGATGCTGATGCTGATGATGATGAGGAGGAGAAAGGAGGAGGAGGAGGAGGAGGAGAAGTGGTAGGGCCTGACTTACCGACACTGCTAGGCGAAACTCCAACCGACGGTTTCCCCTGCTACTCGGGGGACACACACACACACACACTCACCACCAAGTGGCGTCGGATTTTTCTGTAATAGAGCCACAACGCATGAACATTGATATGACAGCATAATGTAATAGTAGCATAACATCATCTGCAACAACAATGCGAAGACTCATTATGACGTCGCCTTCGTTCACGTCCCCCCCAAACAAAACCACGTATCAATAACATTTGCAGGAGTTGCGTTGCACGTGTGAGATACGCAAGAGGAGGAATAGGAGGAGGAGGAGGAGGAGGAGGAGGAGGAGGAAAGCCCCGCCCTCATCACACACTCCACCCTTCATCATGCTTCGCTACCCATCCACCTCTCCCGCTCCGCCCCTCTCCCTCCTTCTCCTCCTCCTCCCTGCTCCTCCTCCTCCTCCTCCTCCTCCTCCTCCTCCTCGTCCCTTCCGCCCCTCCCACTTCCCTGTCCCTTCCCCCCCTGCCCTCTCCCAGTCCCTCCCGTCGCTATCCCCCCGCTCCCCTCCCTGTAGCCTCACCCCTCCCCATCCCCCCCCCGTCTCTCTACCTCCTCCTCCCCTACCCCTCGTCCCTTCCGCCTCTCCCTTTCCCTCCCCCCTGCCCCTCCCGCCCGTCCGAAACATCTAAGCACGGCACCACCCCCGAAGACCTCTCCACACTGCTGGCACGCCTCGCCCGCTGGCTGCCTGGCCCCGCAGCGGTGGCAGAGGACCTCCGGAGCTCGCGCAGAGGCCGCGCGAACGGCCGCGGCCACAACGCACCAGCCATCACTGCTTCCGCTCCTCCTCCTGCTCCTCCTGCCCCTCCTCCTCCTCCTGCTCCTCCTGCTCCTCCTCTTCCTCCTGCTCCTCCTCATCCTTCTCCTCCGCCTCCTCTTCCTCCTCCTTCTCCTCCCTCTTCTATTCTTTTCTCATCCTCCTCATTAGCCTCATCCTCCTACTGCTCCTCCTGCTCCTTCTCTTCCTCCTGCTCCTCCTTCTCCTCTCCCTCCTCCTCCTCACTCTTCTATTCTTCCTCCTCCTTCTCCTGCTCCTCCTCAATTCATGTATTTTCCTTCTGGATACCTCCTCTCTGTCGTACCCCGAGGCCGGCCGAAAGGGCGGGCCAGGCGCTTGCCCGAGAATTACTCATAATCGCTGACCCTGAAGCTCAAAAGATGGCAGCAGTGACGCAAATAGAAGGCGGGCGGTTTTCAAACTGTGGCTCTCGCCTTAGGCGCCGCGCACATTCGTTTCAAGCATGTGCCAGAGCGTACTGATTGAGGGCGGTTGGTTTTCAAACTGTGGCTCTCGCCTGAGGCGTCGCGCACATTCGTTCTCAACACGTGCAAGAGCGTAATGGGTTGAGGGCGGGTGGTTTTCAAACTGTGGTTCTCGCCGTAGGCGCCGCGCACATTCGCTATAACTTAATAACAATTACAAGAGTTTTACTGCTTGAGGGCGGGACGTCTTCAAAATGTGGCTCTCGCCTTAGCGCGGTGTTCATTCGATTAAGTACCTGCAAAGGCTTCACGGACTGAGGGCAGGTCCGTTTCAAAATGTGGTTCTCGCCAAAGCGCCGCGCACATTCGTTTAAACAATGTGCAAAGGTTTCACAGATAGGGCGGGTCGTTCTCAAAATGTGGCTCTCGCTTTAGCGCCACGCACATTCATTTTGAACATTTGCAAGAGCTTCACGGATTCCCGTGGTCACGTTGGTTCGCGGTGTTGAGATCACAGAGACAGCGTGAACCACCGCCGCTTTACTGTGGAAAATTCCCCCCTCTTCCTCCAGAACCCTGGGGTCCCCCCCCCTCCGAAAATCCCCCCCCCTGCTGGACCCCCTCCCCCTCCGCAACCCCCTCCCCCTACCCCCCCCACCTCCGGAAAACTGGGGGGGGTCACTACCGGTTCCAACCCCCCCCCCCCTCCAGAAAACCAGGGGGGTCACTACCGGTTCGAACCCCTCCCCCCCCCTCCAGAAAACGGGGGGGGGGTCACTACCGGTTCGAATCCCCCTCCCCCCTCCAGAAAACCGAGGGGGGTCACTACCGGTTCGACCCCTCCCCCCCCCCCCCACCCCACGCTCACCGCCGGCAAACGACTCCCGGGTCCCTACCACCGTCCGCACCACATCACCCACTGCTGTCCCCAGCACCACTGTCCTCACCATCACTGTCCCCTGTTCCCACCACCATCCCCACTGTCCCCACCAGTGCCCCCACCACTGTCGCACTGTCCCCACTGTCCCCACCACTGTCCTACCACGGTCCCACTCTCCCCACTTCCCCCACGGCCCCAACCACTGTCCCACTGTCCCACTGTCCCCGCCGCTGTCCCACTGAGCTGTCCCACTGTTCCCACCACTGTCCCCACTGTCCCCACCACTGTCCCCACTGTGCCTCTGTCCCATTGTCCCACCGCCGTCCTCGCCACCGCCCTCACC